TTGAGTGAAGAGAGGTTGGCTAGTGGAGTGTTTTCTCCACATGTTGGCTACCAAGGCTGTGAACCTGTCCTGTGCATAACCCTGCTGGGGTCAGTGGAGTCCTCCCCCGGGAACTTAGACTGTCTCTTTCTGCTGTGAGCTGCAGCAATAGCTTTCCTCATGTTGAACCGTGTTTACAGAAACCAGACAGAACTGGCCTCACACAAGCCATCATTATCGCCTCCTAGTAACTTTGCAAAGCACAGGACGACAAGCTGCTGCTCTGTATTTTCATAACCCTGAGGTAATTAGTGCCTGGCATCTGTAATGGAAATAAAGTGCATAACATCAGAGTTTCTAAGATGACACTGTTTTCATTATATGTTTAATTTTTTCAGAGAACGTAAAGGCAGATACATCAAAATGCCAAGAAGTCTTTTTTAATTAAAGCCTCTCTTTTTCTTTTATTCTCAAGATATGCAAATGGATTGAGCCATTAAAGAGAAAGATAAAAGGAACCCCAAACACTGTTTATACATTGCCTTTATGACTGCAGCTACTTATTTTGCAGGAAACATTGTTTTGACTGGAGCAAGTAATAGTGCAGCTTGACATAACTCAAGGCTGCTTTGCAGTGCTACAGAGGCAGACCATGACTAGAGAGATGCCTTACCTAGTTTTGGGAGGTTTCCCCTGACAGCATAGATCCTGCACCTGGATCTCATGCAGTGATCTGCCAGTGGCATTCCTATACCCCCACTGCTGTTCAGCTGCTTATGGTCATGCTTTGAGCTACTTGGTTGACCCAGGTGTGGAGGAAAACAAGACAGTGCATTACAGCAGGTTCCCCTCTTCTGTGATGAAGCTTCCTCTGCTATAGCTTAATAGCCACACGATTGTATACCATTCATATAGTGTACCTTACACAAGGTACGTATAATGCACCTTCTCTTCAGAACAACAGTGCATCGTGTTTATCCTTGGAATCTGGGCACAGCTGTCAGCAGGTGAAAAGCAGTCTCTGTCCAAATCACTGGCATAGATCTCCTGAACCTTTTAGCCCAGAATTTCACCTGGGAAGCCTGGGATCGAGATCCTTGTCATCTAGTCGGCAGGACAGAGTTTGGGTGGAGGGATTCACTGAGGTCATTTAATACCCCTGGCACCGGAGCTTTTCTGATCAGTCTTGAAACAGTTAGCAAGAGCCTCTGGTTCTGTGCTTCTGTAGATGCTGCCTAACCTCTTGATTCCAGGCCCAGCAGCCAAGTAAGTTCAAAGAAATTTATCCAAATGTTGAAGTGTTTATTCAGGCAAAATTTAGCATTTGCTTCCATTAGCTAAAGACTAAAGAAAAACTGAATCAGAACTTCTGAAACTGGCCCCTGAAAAGCTGGAATACACCACTCTGGAGACAAGTATCAGAAGATCAATGCATAAGAGTTCAATATAGAGAGCACTAATTTATTATTTTTATTTTTATTTTTTCTTATATATTATCTACAAGCACAAGCTTTCATATTTTAATGTAAAAATGCATACAGATCATTATATATATAAAAAACAACTAGCCTTGTAGCAAACTGCCGGATGCAACTATCCCCAGGTTTGGGGACAACTTGTCTGGATCCAGGTGCAAACCCAGTGGCTGATCGTCACTTCCATCTGTGGTTGCACCGAACCCCCAGATATGAAGATTCTCAAAGTTCTAGGGAAGTCTTGGTTCCTGATCCAGGTCTTGCAGCATGGGCATGACTAACTCTTCATCAATTGAAGATAAATATTTAAAAACTTCATAAATGACAATCAACTTGTTGTAGGTAACAAGTATCCACTTCACCTTTCCTCCCCCCTTTTTATTTCTTGTCTTTCCCATCCTCTCTCTGCAAAAGTTGTAATGGGCATAGGAGAGGAATTTAATGTTGGTGTCATATATGTACACTTAAACAGCAGCAGTAGAAACAGAATTTAAACTGTCAATGCCTGCTGCCGAGAGGCTACTGAATGTGGGTTTATGTTGCATTTGGCCTTTTCAATGCTTGGGCACTTTTTTGGCTCAGTTTGTACATTGTAGAAATATGACATAGCCAATAATATGTTGCAACATTGTGAGCAACAGTAAATCAGATTGCGTTTAATACTATGTAATATGTATCAACAGATTATAATAGACCATATTATAACTGGCTTGACAAGCAGCCCATTACACCAAGGAAACAAAAAGAGCAATTAAGTAAAGAAATTTGTGTTTGTGTGGGAGAAAAGGTCACAAAATAGCAGCCTCCTTTTTGACTGAGTGTTTATCATGTTCGGCAGTTTCCAAATTCAGTCTTTGCAAAGGAATGTTACTATTTTTATTAGAGGTTCTTTATGTAACAAGTCATGTTTGCACAGTGGAACATTTTCTTTCAACAGGATTTTATAACTTCTCCATACAGACGTTATAAAAGAAGATCTAATTTGCTGGGGTTCTTTTGGAAAGTATTAGGGCCTAACTTAGCTTCTCCTTCCTTTCAACTCTCCTAATATGAATATGGTTAATGTATTTTCTCTTGTAATTTATATATTACCTTTTTATATTTTAAATGCAGCTTTACTCCGAAACCTAAGAAAGGTTTTCAGAGAAAAGAACTGCTGAAGTTGTCTTAGAGAGGGATAAATCAATAGCTTAGAATACCGACATAATCACTTTCCTCATCAGCTATGTTGCCATGGGATTGCAGGTAAGGATTTTGCTTACTTCAGATTCGTGCAACAGCACTGAATTGGAAGATAACAGAATGACTTAATGAAATGCTCATTCTGGCTCCTGATGTTGTAACATACACGTTTGCAAGTTTGGACCTTCAGCTAATGACCACCGGTGTCTGAACAGGCCCTGTCTCTTTCACAGAATCACAGAATCACAGAATGGTCAGGGTTGGAAGGGACCTCTGGAGATCACCTAGTCTAACCCCCCCACCAGAGCAGGGTCACCTACAACAGGTTGCACAGGACGGCATCCAGGCAGGTTTTGAATGTCTCCAGAGTGGGAGACTCCACAACCTCTCTGGGCAGCCTGTGCCAGTGCTCCACTACCCTCAAAGTAAAGAAGTTCCTCCTCATGTTAAGATGGAACTCCCTATGTTCAAGTTTGTGCCCGTTTCTTTTACACTCATATTGATTCTGCATTACTAATAGGACTAAAAATGGCAAAACTTCTATTTTTATTTTTTTATTCTAACAAAAGTTAGAGATATGACCAATAGTTTGGGAACAGGTGATGGATATAGTGATGTCACCTGTTGCAAGAACCTCCTGCCCAGAAGCACACGGTGAAGTTTCCACTGCAGTGTCCATAGCTGCTGTATGGCAACATACCTGAATAGGAGGACCAAAATATAGATATTTATTCCAGAAGAGTGGAATGAATTTTCACTCTCTAGAATGGGGGAAACAGAGAAAATAAACACCAGGACAAATAAAATATACACCTGACTGTGATGTTCTTTGATGCTGGTTGGGTAAAAGATAAGGGTGAAAGAATGTTTAAAAAAAAATTACTTTGGTAAAGTATCTTTAAGCAAATCCTTTTGGAAAGTCCTGACTTGGGACTTTTCTCTGTCCACAGGGATGTACAGGCTTGATTCTCCAGCCAGTTCCACCTCTTATATGGCTACCTATAACCGTATAAAGTGCTATCCAACCAGATACCCTCATTCTCCTACATCTGTGGCAACTTGCATTTGATAGCCTTTTGGTTTTACTTCCTCACAGAGGCAAATATGAAGTACAAAGCAGTGGAGAATAAAGTTGTAAGTAGTTGCCACAAGAGGGCTGTTCCTCAAAGGAGAATACTGCTAATATTCCCATTTGTCATCCCAACTTTGGGCTGTGGTTCTTCTACATGATGCCAGTCTGAGCTGCACACCGCACTGCCTAAAGGGATGCAACACAATGGGTGGGAGATGAGCACAATCTGAATGACAGTCTTTCAGTCTTGGTTCTTGCATCTCTCAGCATACAGTTAACAAGCCAAGCAACAAGGCAGAACTTGCCAGCTGGCTTAAATGAGATGCATGAGGGAGGAGAAGGGAGGAGAAATAACTGGACACCTTTCATCTCAGGCCCCAAAATCTGATAAAATGCACTTTCAATTGAATGTGCCAGATAGAGTCACAAAAAACCCCCGTGCTGGTTTAAACCACAGAGTGCTTCAAGCAACATCTGGAAGTTTAAACAGCTGGAAATGACGGCCTTGTGATATGGTAGAGGCCATTCACATCTGACTTGCATTTGGGCTTAGACTTTAAATACTTGCCTTCCCATGGATTCTGTTCTTCGATATAAGATAGAATAAGAGGAACTACTTGAATTGCAGTAAGACCAAAACAAAAATGTAAACAAAAGCTAAAAACTACCCATAACTAAATCAATAGTAATATGGTTATTTTTTTAGTTTGATTTCCCAACGCATACACTCCCATTTCCCCAAGTACAGTACTGTGCTTTGAGGGGGAAATGCTGAAATGCCACTGGACTAGCTGATTATTTCTTGATGAATTCTGCAGTTTGAGAGGATCTGGAAAAGCAGCCGAATTTCAGCTCTGTTGAAATGTGTGTCTTGCTGGCTAAACACTCCATGAAATAGACCTTTCCTGTATTTTTTGCATACCTTGCTAAGAACATCAGCACTCATATATTTGACAAAAATAACAACAAGGAAGGACAGTTTGGAGTAAAAGCACACAATGCGCCAATTTAGAGCTGGTGAAAGGTATCAGATGGACTTTCTGGTACAACACAGCAGCCTCTATGTGTATTCAGTCCTTGAGAACATCGGTTGTGGTGGTTGTTGATGGACCGAGGGCTGAATCTTACTCTCCAACGGCTACTGAGCAGCTGGCTGGCTGGAAATGATGTTTAGGCACTACTGACTTGCAGGGGATTGGAGCCAGCCTTGTAGAAGCAGAAGATGCTCTGTCAGTGCCAACCCCCACAATCATCTAGTCCTTTGGAGTTCGCTTTTTATTTCTTCCCCCCCTCCCCCATGTTAGCCAGAAGCGGTGTGGCTAAATACATTTTGAAATAGGAAAAAAGTCTGACGCCATGTTACTCAAAAAAGTGGTGTGGTTTGTCTTTTCTATTTTTTTTTAATTGCAAAGCTTTGACCATTTTTGATTAAATGTGCTCTGCCTGCCTCTTCCCTACTTCAAGCTAATATACTCTAAAATGCTTCTCTGGCTTAGTACAGCTCTTTTTAGCTGCTGATTTTGGTAAGCATCTTATTAATTGCCTGCTTGACGTGGGTGGTAGAGCTTCGTCTCCGAGTCTTGCCCTGGACCATCTTTCGACGCCTTACTTCACGACAGAGCTCATAGAAGGCCTCCATAATGTTGCCCTCTCCTGTGCAAGCAGAGCACTCATAAAAAGCACATGCTAGTTCTGTGGCCAGCTTTTCACCTTCCTCTGTGCTGACCTGCCTGGAGTGATCCAAGTCTGCTTTGTTCCCCACCAGGATCAGGGTGACATTTTTGGGCTTTTTAACTTCATCCAACAAGTTCTTAAGTGGCAGCACTTCCTCAAAGCTGCCTCTGTCCGTGATGTCGTAAACCAGCACAAAGCCTTCCCCCCATCGCACATGTCCTTCTTTCTGAATAGCGTCCTCCTGTTTCGAAAAGACAGACATCAGACTTAGGAATTTGATTTATGAAAAAGACCCCAGGCCTCCAGATAGACATTGGTCCTCCAAAGCCTGCAAAGCCACGACTTGACTTTGTATTTTATGCGCTTCAACTTTTTTATCATGTGGCATAGGAGATCTGCTCTACCAAGGTGCCATGGGCTCGTAGCAGGCAATTGGAAGAGGGTCTCTGTTGAAAGAAACCCAACACACAAACTGGATAGGACTGTTCATTGTGAGCATCTGTCATCTTTTGAAAGGAAGGCGGACCTGGCTATGACAAAACTGCTCTTCACTTTGGGAAACATTGACTGAAGCTGTTGAGCCTCGTCACTTGATTGCAGAAATAGACCGTGACTTTATGCATAGTAATAAAGTGTTGTTGGGTTGGCCCCGAATCAAGGAATGAGAACAAAATCATTTTAATCCCAGAGTAAACCCTGACTTTGTTCTTCCACTAGTTGAAAACTCTAAGCAGGGTCCCTTGCAGAAGGGTCTGGATCCAGCACGCTGGGTCTGGCTGCAAGCTAATGGTGGTGGAGATGTGGGGGGGACTCTGCTCAGAAGCAAATCTCTGTCCCCAAACGCAGAGCACACCTGCCACCCACTGCACTGCTGCCACCACCGCACTCCCCTTCCCTGCTGTCTATCTGAGCCAAGGTATTGGATAATAGTACATGTTCCCACGCACCTGACCAGCTGTATCTAGTATCTCCATGGAAACCACTTCATCATCAATGGTAGCTTGGTGACGATATGTAGACTCTAAAATAAGAACACATTTTGTGAAACGTATTAAAAGAAAGTAATTTTTATTTTGCATCTTCCTTACAGCTACCCCAGCACAAGACCTGAGATGTGACACAGAGCTTCACTAAATTTTATTTGTCAGAGCTTTTCCAGCCATTCTGGAGCACGCTCAAGTCCTCCTTTCTACAATGGTGACTATTTTACCTCTCCCCATATGGCACAACTCTTTCTTTCCCGTGTCTTATACCTACAAAGGGCTGTGCCTGTAGACGCTGCACTCTGTGCCCCAGAAAAGGACGACAGAGTTTCCTCCGGTGAAAAGCTCTGCAAGGCTACAGCCCATTTTTCAGGTTTGTTCATAGGGAAGGCTGCCGCCTATGAAACACAAATACTGCTACTCTCAAAGTATCCAGCTCAAAAGCCTGTCACTGCGTAGCTTGAAGTCCGACAAGATCAAAACCAGTACAGTTACAGATCAAGGAACCTAACCACTAAGCTCAGGCCTTATACTGTGATAAAATTACAGAACAGTTAGCTATTTTAGGAATGTCTCTTTGAGACATGCTGAAATCATCACATTCCGCTCTTCTAGCAAGGGCTCAAGCAGTGATTTCCCTGTGTATGATTTATAACGATAACCAGTGGGCATTAAGCATTCACACTATGCTACCGGGAAAAAAAGAATCTATATACTGTGTCCCAGGTTCTGGAACCAGGCAAGTAATCAGAAAGCTAATGACAAAAGGGCTTCTTTTATCTTAATGAGCTGATAAGTTAAATTTGATAGCATTTGACCTAAAACTTGGAAAATTATCTGTGCTAACATTCAGATTTATTACTGTTGCTAGCTCACAGATGTCCTATATCAAAAAGCAAATGTGTATGCTGTGGCTAGTGACTATGAATGCTTTGCATTGTCAGAGATGCAACACTTTTATTTGGCGCAAATCTCCTCAATAGGAATGAAAGATCTTTAAGGAAACACATTCTTGAATTTGAACTTCTGACAGGGCTCATGTTTGGTGAATGCCTTTTTTCATTACATACTTAAGAATGTCACCTCTACATAGTGATGAATGTTTCAAAGCTGTCAGTGCTGCAAACACGCTCTTCCCAAACCAAAATTGTCACTTCCCTCCTGTGCCACCTTAATTGCTTTAAGTAGCACAGCTGCCTCTAATAGGGACAAATGGTCAATTTAATTAGGCAGATGGCAAGCAATCTTGCTGTAGGGATTCAGGCAATGAAGACGAGGTTTTTTAAAGGCTGTAAAAACCCCTTCTGTTTAGTACTGCAAGTCTGTTGAAGGAGTTGGAGTTCCACCTTTGTGATCCTGAGGCTATACCTACGCAGCAGAGTAAGATATATCTAAGTCTCTCAGTGTTAGGTCTTATCTGTCCCTTCTGTACACACTCCTACCTCCAGCAATTCCCCCAGGGGAATGAAGAAAAGGCAGGAGCTCTAGTTTGGTGTGGAAGCTGCAGTGATGCACCTTCAACAAGCTCTTTCAGTGGCTAAAATGTTCAGTGCTAGGTTGTGACTCTCTATGCAGCATTCCATGTCCAAGGTCATTTAGGAACTTACGCTTGGTTTCTTTGGGGGAAGAGTGAGGTGAAGGAGATGGCTCTCTGAGTGAGTAATGTGACATTAGCTCCTTACTTGTTTAGGCCTTGCAAGGTTTAAATGCCTTCAACCATCTGGCTCTGCTTGACAAGTAGCTGTTGAGAATTGGTCCACACAACTTGAGAAAGCGCTCATCCAACCACGTTTGCAGCATATCTGTGAAATGTACTTCTTAGGAGGCAGAGTGTGGTAGGCCATACGGCTCTTTCCCATGAAATAGGTGAATAAATCTCAAGGAGTAGACCTGTACTTGCTACGGAAAAGGAGCATGATTCTTAAATGATACTTGAGTTCTCAAAATAGGACACTGGTGGCGCTTTATGTTGCAAGTTTAACTCACTTTGGCTGCTCACGTTCAGATGGAATTTCATCCTGGGCAAGTAGCACTGATTTGGGTCAAAGTACTGTAAATTTATCTTTGTAAATATGTGTCTGTTCCCGTGCTTTGGAATGTGTGGTAGCTGGCTGAATTTTAACGAGGAGTGTAAAACAGCTGGATGTTTAAAGCATTTTTTAGTGTAATCACAGACATGGTTTTTCCTTTATGGAAACAAACATCTGAAGAATCTGGTGGTCTTTTAAGTTACAAATCCTGAAGTTGTGATTTCCCGTCCGTTCATATCCATCCCACGGTACTTCACACACGCATTGTCTTGTTTTGGGATTTATAAGTATCTTGTTCCCTGCGGCACTTTTTTGAGACATGCATCTAGAGAGAAATTGGATGACTTGAGATACTTGCTGGATCCCTAACTGAAACCACGGACAATGCAGGTATATGTCTCAGCTAGGCACCCTTGTCTCCTATTAGAGTTGATGAAGTAAAATAGGTGCTGAATATAGCTTGTCTGTTGTCTCTCCTGGGATAAATCACACCTCAAAAGCACTTGGAACTCTAAAATCGGTCAGATGAATCAATCCCTGTAAATGTCTTATGCTTGCATCATCATGGTCAAGAAGAAAGAGTGAAGTGTAACACTGTACCAGCGGCTCCCAGGATGACTACAGGCAACTTTCTGAGCTTCAGATTGTCATTTGCACCAGGTGATGCCTATATATTATATCTATAGCTGTATGGTTAAAGCATCATAGGTAGAAAAGAAACCTCAGAGCTGTGTTTTGCTTTTCATAGACTCGGTGTCAAAATGGCCAGCCTCAAAGCAGAGTTGGGGAGCTGCTGGCTGAGCCGTGGTGTGCCTGAGGCTGCAGGCACTGTGGAAATAGTCATACTTGGTGGTTTGCTCTGCTTCAACATAAGTAAGTAAATCTGACCCGTTCTTGTTGGTTTGGGGATGTCCTGTGCTTCTATTCATATTCCCAGTAACAAGATCAAAGGTGCTGCTGGCTGTGAGGCTTTGAAAGCCGACGCCAGATTTCAGGGTCCCACTTGGTTATAAAGCTGCAATCCCCCAACGGTCTTGCTGTGCAAAGCACTCTTGGTTCTCACAGTCCTATCGTTGGAAAAATTTAAGTTTATTCCAGAAACATTTAGAGCTGTCAAAAGGCCTGAGAAACACATTAGGAAGCGGTAGCAGTTAGTTTGTTTTTAAGTCTATACTATATTGCCACCATAAGTCATTAAGAGGACTGGATAAAACTTTCAAATTACCACAACTGCTGAATAATTATGGAAATAATGATTTTGAAAAAAAAATTAAAATACTTTACTGGGGCTCTCTGTGTTGACAAGCATGTTACAAATCTCCCTATTCTTTTGAGCAATGTGATTTTCAAAAGTGCAAGAAAAAAAACCCTACTAAACTTATATAGAGAAAACTTTCAGGCCCATGATCCATAGGCTGTCCATAGATATGATATTCAGTCACAGCTTGACCATGTTGCATCCTTGTGCTATGCTTATTGTAACGTATCTAATAGGGTTTTGTCCAATAAGACTTAGCTGATCATTTATCAAACCTATTTGTCCAGGCCTATCCTGATCTATTTGAATATAGCTGTTCCAGAAGATTATATTTTCTAGAGAAAAACTATTACCTGAGAAGTACTTGCTAGATCTTGATTTGTATTTGCTGTGATGTGAAAAGCTGTTTTCAGTACTTGTTTATTTTGAACAGCCAATATATATCAGGGGTATGACACAGCTCTGGAAGGAAATCTTTGCATCAGAAGGGTTTATTGCTTTTGGGAAAAAACTTGTAGTTGGAGTAGGTAAATCAGCTGAGGTGGAGCAATGATATACACAACTTTATATGTAAATTTAAGGAACAGCCTGGTCTCTTTGGTTTGCTTTTAAGTACAGAGGGACACCAACTCTGTTTCCATTCAGAATTTGAGTTCATTTTTGTCAAGAAAGGTTAATGAAATAAGTACATATAAAAATGGTCTAAGAAACTTTGGTCTCGTCATGGCTTTCAGCCAGCTGGACATGAAAACTGAAAGAGACCTAAAGAAAGAGCTTTTGTGTAATAATTATAGTTGAGTTTCCAGACCAAAAAGCTTCAGCTAATAGGCATGAACTTCCAAGTTATGGTTAAGGTCTTGTTGGACAGAAATATAGCAGTATGTTTAAAAGACTAAAATTTCCCAGAATTATTTCTGGTTACATAATAATGGTTCATGTTCTTTCGTTTGTTTTTGGTTTTGTTTTTTTTTTAAATAAACTCCCTGCTCATTTAGACTCCTGCAATCTTTGACATCCATCAGGATGGTAACTGTCACATTTGAGAACAGTGACTTTGACAGCCCATTGGGGGAAAAAAAGTACCTCCGTTACTAACTCTGGTGCTGTTTGATATGTTCTCTACACCCTTCCTTGAGCCTGCCTTTGTAAAATTTGTCCCCTCTGTTTCCTTGCTGCTTCAGGAACTTTTCACCTTTCAGAAAGCCCTTGCAAATTTAATGTACCTTCCTGGCTCAGAAAGTCTCTCCTGCCTTCTTTCCCTCACTTTTCTCCAAACTCAGCTGAATGTATTCTTCTTGCTTGCATTTGGCTGTTACTTACTCCATCCATTATTTACCTTAGAGGAGGGGTTTTAGTTTGAGACTATCCATGGTTTTACAGTAAGCACAGTACTTCCCTTTTGTATTTAGAACTTATTCCCACGTCTCTTTATTAACTGATACCACAGGCCCAAATGTAAGCATAGTTGGATTATTTATCAATAATACCATCAAAGCATAGAATGGTTTAGGTTGGAAGGGACTTTAAAGTTGATCTAGTGGGCAGGGACACCTTCCACTAGACCAGGTTGCTCAAAGCCCCATCCAGTCTGGCCCTGAACACTTCCAGGGATGGGGCCTCCACAACTTCCCTCAGCAACCTGTTCCAGTGTCTCACCGCTCTCATAGTGAAAAATTTCTTCCTGATATCTATTCTAAATCTACCTTCTTCCAGTTTGAAGCCATTACCCCTTGTCCTATCACTACACTCT